GGGTGCGGTTTGGGGTGGGTTGGGGTGGGGTTTGGGTGGGGCTACCCCCAGCAAGCCTCGTGCCCGCCTTGATTTAAGGCAGGCACGGGGTTTGATGGGAGTAGCAGCCCAGAGGGGGGAAAAAAAGCGAAGTTCTGCACAAAAAAAACAAACAACAAAATATAGCTTGACACGGTTTTCATGTTTGTGTTTTTGCGTTGGAAAGGGAAAGGAACAATGTACACATATTATACAATGCCAGCATACGGCTGCACACAGTTTGCGGCTGATAACAGTTGCATCGTCCGCACATAGAGTCATGTCGTGAAAAACAGCATGGACAATAACAAACACTATAATTGTCGAAGTAAGTGTACCATACGAAATATGAAAGGTCGAACCGTATATGCACCAAGAAAGGTTTCACTATGAACCATCTACATAAAATAAGAAAAAAACTCACATCCTAAAAATGAGAAAATAACATGCTACTGCGACACACAGTAAAAAAACGTGTCAAACTACATGATGTGGTCGTGCCGCTGACCACTAACAAACACAAAAAAGTCAATACGTCCAGCGCTTGTAGGCGGGCTCATGGTCTGCCGCTCGCCGACCTCCAATGTTGTCCTGCGTGCCTCGAGTATCTAAAGGTCATCCTCTCTGTCAACCTCTTCTGCATCGGCGTCGGTGCGATCGTCATCAACCACCGTGACGCCGTCCCGTCTAATCTCCCTCCGTGATGCCGATATAAGGGTGTCCATGCGACGTCTGCCTCGCGTCATCTCCAACCCCTCGCCTCCAGTCGTCTCACCCTCCCAATGTGATGCTCGTCGAGGTATCGGTCTCTGTGTCCTAGGAGGCCCCAACACATATGTCTCGAGGATCTCTGAAACCTCCCTTAATCCGTGAGTCGATACTCGTGCACCAGGCGCTGGCCGCACTGCAGATCCACGTCCACTCGCATCCCCAATATCAACACCCAACCCACCACGATGCTCGAACCCAACGACATGCACCTCCCTCGTCAATGATGTGAACGAGCATCGCCTCCCCAACCCGGGCTGCCTCTTCCTGGTAGCCGCCGCCGACCTCCTCATGTTGCTCCACGACACGTCAGTGCGCCTGAGTAAAGAAGCTACGGCCCCCACTGTGGCCTCTCGACGCTCTCGAGGCGTGCCCGCCGCAGAGGTTGGCGCAGACGGTCGTCTCCCGCGATCTCGTGCCACACTGGGAGGGGACTATGTTGCACCAACCCCCATGGCACCCACCGCCACCGAAGCGTCTAATGGCGATGACGGGCTAGCAGGGCCCCATGGAACGGACTGCACGCGTGGTAGAACTGTTATAGCTTTCTTTGAGTCGATCCTCAATCCACGTCTCGTCTGTGTGAGATCCATCGCAAAACATGTGCCCAACTCATCAACAGTCATCGGGCCGAACATCAAACTGCCTCGTGGATGCTCTACGTAACGAGTACATTGCGTCCCAGGACCAGGCGGACGATGACGATGCCGGTGATGTGTGGTCTTCGGTGCATCCTGCTGAATGGGCGGTGGAGCCATGAGACTTGCTCCCTCCTCCCGAGTCCTCCATGCCTGAAGCAGGTATAGTCAAGGGCACACACACATCTCCATGTACCTCCCCATATGCATCCTCTCTTGTCTGTATGTCTCCCCCCACCGCTGCTGGACTCCGAACTGCCTCCTCATCCCCTACATTTCCCGCTGGTACCTCTACTGGATCTCCCAAGTGAGTTGTATATCCACAATCCACCATTTGTGCGGCCACCGGCTGAGCAGCATCGGCCTCTGGCACGATGGAGTCAATCTCTATTCGCCGCGCGCGTCTCCGTCATGTGCCACTGCAACAACATCCGCCACTCCGTCTCGTGGTATCGAGACGATGGGTGCGCTGTCGATATCGGGCCCTGCTGTCTCGCCCTCTCTCTCGAACCGCATGTGAAGTGTGGGCAGCTGCCTCCTCGACCAACCCACGAGACTCCTCCTCATCCTCCCTTGCCTCTCGAGCCATGCGGTCCTCCTCGGTGCCGAATGCAGACTCTCCCATGTGAACTGCCTCCATCTGCTCATCCTCCGCAACAGAGCCTCTGAGCCTCGCACTCCTGCTCCTCCAGTCTCTAGCTGACGCATAGCCTCCATGTCACGTTGTCGGGCGGCCACAGACCAGTCGGTCACCCGAAAAGCCAAGGATTGAGCCTTGGGTTAAGTGCGTAAGGAAGAATCAACCAGCAGGGTCCGTCACTTTCATCAGAGCTGTCGAAAAAAATCAGGGGTCTTAATACTAACTCTAAAAACCCCTGTGTCGACTGCAGGTACTAACCCTTAAATTTGGTGACTCGGACGACCGTGTCTACCGCGCCTGGCGCCTACTTTTTTCATCTGTTTTGAGGCTGTCTTAGAATCGGTCAGCCACGGAACGTGGATGAGCTAGTAGGCCTTCGCGTGGTCCTCTTCACGCTGACCAGTTGACAAAGAAAGAAGTCAAAAATTTAATCTGATTTAATGATGAAATTAAAAACAAGTGATTGGGGTAGCCGGTCCATATGGGGCAGCCGGTCCATATGGAAAAATGGCAAAGCACAAAATCCTCCTTAATTATGCATCATTCATTAAACACACTACTCGATCCAACCCCGCATTTCATCAGGTCAACCAATCAACATCCCCGTCATCCTTGCATAAGTTCTCAGACACAATCCATTTCATGCATATAACAAAGTGAGAGGAGAGAAATCACCATAGTCCATCCATTATAGAAGAAACATAATAGAAAGAAGGTGTGAGGGAGGAGAGATGTGGATCAGAAGAGAGAAGAAAGCAGAAGATAATTACACAAGAAAGTCTGGTGATCTTGACGAGAAATTTCGGCTTAGATGTCGGGTGAATGAAACTCACGCTTGAACACACTAGACTTGATGCAAAAGAGGTGCATCCACCATGAAACTCCACTGGGGCCCCAGGCCATACATTCACTCAACTTCCGATTACGATCCTCACACAAGTACTGAGGATCCCTGCCATCACGTGCTACTCCCACCATAGTGATCGTCACCCCGCGGACTCAGTCTCCGCATGGTCTTGCCCGGATCCCACAGTCCCTCGGGCGATCCAACACATAGCCGACAAGGCTATAGTCATAATGTCAGGACTTTTTGACTCGCATTTTCACACGTACCATTTAGCCACTGCTTCCCGGAAGCTGGTCGATAAGTTGAGAGAGAGAGAGAAATATTTTCTTGCTTGCTTGCGGAATTTATAGTTATAAAAAGAAACTAATGCTAAGAAAGATTAAGACCGAGGTAGGGAGGGGTAAAAGAAAGCTCAGGGATAATCCCCTGAGGAAATCCATATCGATCCTTTAGAGCCTAGTCGTAGCCAATAAGAATCGTCGTGTAACAGGGATTTCCTTTTTACATGGCACGTTTCCTTGGCTAGAGGGAAGGAGGAGGAGATCGACAGGGTATTCCGGCACAAAGATTTGAGCGGAGAGAAGAAGGACGCGAAAGATAGCGCGAAACGGGACCAAGATTCAGACGATCAAGAGAAAAAGAAAAAACACACAAAGAGAAATCACCATACTCCATCCATTATAGCAGAAACATAACAGAAAGAAGGTGTGAGGGAGGAGAGATGTGGATCAGAAGAGAGAAGAAAGCAGAAGATAATTACACAAGAAAGTCCAGTGATTTTGACAAGAAATTCCGGCTTAAATGCCAGGTGAATGAAACTCATGCTCGAACACTGGACTTGAGGCAAAAGAGGTGAATCCACCATGAAACTCCATTGGGGCCCCAGGCCATACATTCACTCAACTTCGGATTACGATCCTCACACAGGTACTGACGATCCCTGTCGTCACGTGCTACTCCCACCATAGCAATCGTCACCCCGCCGACTAAGTCTCTGCACGGTCTTACCCGGATCCCACAGTTCGCTGGGTGATCCAACGCACAGCCGGCAAGGCTACAGTCAGCCCGTCAGGACTTTTCGACTCGCATTTTCACTCATACCATCTAGCCCCTGCTTCCTGAAAGCTGGTCGATAAGTTGAGAGAGAGAGAGATTTTCTTGCGTGCTTGCGAAATTTATAATTGCGGAAAAGGAAGCAGATGCTAGGAAGGATTAAGACCGAGGTAGGGAGGGGTAAGGAAAAACTCGGGGATAATCGCCCGAGGAATCGTCGTGTAACAAGGATCTCATTTTTGCACGACACGTTTCCTTAGCTAGAGGGAAGGAGGAGGAGATCGACATGGTATTCCGGCGCAAGGATTAGAGCGGGGAAAAGAAGGGCGTGAAAGATAGCGTGAAACGGGACCAAGATTCAAATGATCAAGAAAGAGAAAAGACACGCAAAAGGCACTTGAGGCAAGGAAGGGATGAAAAACGGTTACAGAGAGAGAAGGAGCGTGAGCGCAAAGAAGAGAGTGTCGAAGGTAGCGAGGGAGGCGAGGTGGGGGGGGGAAGCTTGCATGCATGGCGCCGACGCTAAAGCAAAAAGGGCACTGAAACAGTTACAGCTCGTTCAGAGTCCTATGCTAATTCAAAATTGAAAAACACCATATCCACGCGCTGTGTATTTTTATAACGGAGAACGGGCGGAGTTAAGCGCCCGAACACCCGTTTAACGGGCCCAGGACCCCCGTTGAATCGCGTTAAACGCAAAAACGGGAACGTTGCGTCGAATTCCGAAAAACGAAACTCGCGCGTTGGGCCTCAGACACGTGTGCCTACGTGCCCGAACATTCAAACTGGGAAAAAAAATTAAAAAAAATCACCCCCCGTTAACACCCCCCCCCCCACACCCCTAAAGGCCCAAAAAAACCCTCTCTGACCCCGAACACACCCCCCGGCCCCCTCCCCCCAACCTACACATTCCCAACACGACCCCCAACCCCCACTACCCGGCGACCCCCTGAACGCCCCTCGTATAACTTCGTATAATGTATGCTATACGAAG